ATAAAAATCCAGGGTGGCGGGAGATATTTGTAAAACTCCACTGGAGGAAAAAGCTAACTGGATTTATAACAACTTTCCCAATACTAAGTAGATGTCACTATATTTCATAAGTGTTTGGCAACAATTTTGTACGCGTCAGTGGGCAGTTGTCATTACAATTAAAATTTATAACGCTACTCTATGAACTTATTTATGTGATATTACATGTGTAAACACCGTTTTCGATTGTCATTACAATTAAATATTGATTGTTATATTTTGCTAAGTAGTACAACAACTATTAATTGTTGATAATTGTTGATAACTGTTTTGCAAATATGTAGGTTTAAATGGCGTCGCCTAGCCATACAGGAAGAAGACAACGTGCTACAGATGAGAGGGACGAAGAAGAAATACTGACAGATATAGCCGTTGCACTCTGCGGTGCTGCCGCGTTAGAAGCAAGTGCGCGTGAACCACGACATACATCCGTATTAACTGGTCATCAGTACATGTTGGAGGTACTCAACGGTCATCATGACAGGATCTATGACAAGTGTCGCATGGACAAAGACTGTTTTACATTGTTATGTGAAATTTTGTCCAATCAAGGCAAATTGCAACCAACTAGGAGGACGAGTTTGGAAGAACAAGTTATGATATTTTTAACAATCGTTGGAAAAAACGAGACAATCAGAACGATGATGGAGGATTTCCAACATTCGAGTGAGACGATTTCTAGACATGTTACCGCAGTTTGCGACGCCATATGTGAGTTGAAGACAGAGTTTATCAGACCACCTGACTTCAATGATGTTCCATGGGAAATATCAGCCAACAGAAAATATTACCCTTTCTTTAAGGTACCAGTTCATTATGTTTGCTATTAGTAGATAGTGAAGTTAATTGTGTTATTAATGTTTTTAGTAGGTTAATATTAGTAAAATTCAATTTTCATGATAGGACTGTATTGGAGCCATGGATGGCACACATGTATACGCTTCGGTTCCACGTGAATTTGCCGATAGGTACCGGAATCGCAAAGGATCGATGTCACAGAATGTAATGGCTGTATGCGACTTTAACATGATGTTCACTTATGTCGTTACTGGATGGGAAGGATCTGCGCATGATTCAAGAGTTTTAAATTCAATTATTGATGATCCTAATTCTGGATTCCCACATCCTCCACCAGGTATAAGTATTTTCTTGACATATTATAGTGCATTACGTCCACTGTTGAGGCCCTGTAATTCAAATAAAATGTCTGATATTATTACAGGGAAATACTATTTGGTTGATGCGGGTTATCCAAATAGAGATGGATTCCTCACCCCTTATAGGCAAGTGGCTTACTATATTTCTGATCACCGCCGTAATCGAAGGGGGCCACAAGAGTTGTTTAATTATAGACATGCTTCACTCCGCAATGTTATCGAGAGAACCTTTGGTGTTTTGAAAAGACGGTTCCGTATTCTAAATGGAATGAACAATTACCCGTTGGACAAACAAGGGAAGATTGTTATGGCATGTTGTGTACTTCATAATTTTATAAGAATGTACAATATGGACGATCGTATCTTCGAACAAACCAATACTAGTACGGGTAATGAGCAAGTATATTTTGATCGTCAAAACGAGGCAGAATATGGCCGAAACGGAGAAGGACCGAGTCAACCGCAACAAGGTATTATAGACAATATGACGACTGTACGGGATAACATAACGAATGCACTGTGGGCAGCATAGTGGACCATGTCATAGTTGTTAATGGAGTATACGTGTAATAATGATTGTAAGGGTTGATAATTAGTATTTTTTTCATATATGTATTAATGTGATTTTTTAAACAGTTGGGTTAGTACTTGAAATTAATATGGTTTTTTTTTTTAATATATACGGATACCAAAATTACCAATAAAATATTTAGTATTATTAAAATGTAACTTGATAACTTATATATATAATAATACATTATTTTAACAAACTACAATAAAATATTATATTAATAAATTATTTATAAACAAATATATTAATCAAATATTCAACACAAATATCAAGGTCAAAATACTCTACCAAACACATATTCTGAAAATCCTATTCTCGTAATTATAACCCTATCCAACTATCCAATACTATCCCCAAAATCCTATCCAAAATACTAAACCAAACGCACCCAAGGTCATTTAACTTTAAACAATTTTAAGCATTACCCCTGCCTTTTTAGTTGGGGCTAACTATTTTTTCTTTTTTGACTTTTAATATTTGACTTTTTGGCTAATTAAAAAATTTATAAAATCAAATGTTTGAGGGTTTTTTTGTCTTTTCAGTCAAATATTAACAGAAAATATAATAAAACCTAACGAAAGGTGGGAAAGTGTCGTTTCGCCAAACCTTGAGTGAAAAAAATGTCGTTCTCTCTTTTTAATAATACTATATTTATAAACAAATTTTACAAAGATTCTCGTGAGATGACAAAAAATAAATTGAAGAGTGAAACAAAAAATCAAATTCATTATATTCATTATTTCATTCATCTTTTGCCACATTACTTTATATGGAGATCTTTGTAAGTGTATTACTCTATTATTTTATTCATCATCTTTAGTCTAGTCCTTTATAAATTTCTCAAATTCTTGTGGTCTCAATGTGCATCCAATGTTTGCCTAATTAATTTAGTCTGTTAAGAACATTTCCCTTACTAAACCATTTCTTATTACCCACAACTACTAGAGGTGTTCAAAAGCGGTTAACCACTTTTTTGAACCAAACCAGTTTTTAGGTTTGGAAAAATTTTCGAACCGAAACTGAACTGGTTTGGACGGAAAATCGGTTTTTCGGTTAACCGGTTTTGAGCCGATTTTCCCCTTTTTTTACTTTTATTATTTTTTTTCCTAAATTAAATTGTAAATATAAATAATACATATCCAAATAAAAATTAAATATTCATACATTTTTATTGACCACTACTAACAATACATTAAAAATATTATTTTTTTATTTAATATATAATATAATATACATATATATATAAAACCAGCTTCGGTTAACCGCTTTTTATTTTTTCCTGAACCGGTAATCGAACCGAAAATTCTGTTTTTTGAATTTTTTGAATTGTAACCGAACCGTTTTTTCGATTAATCAGTTTTCCAGTTTGGTTATCGGTTTGGTTCTGTTTTTGCATTTTTTTGAACACCCCTAACAACTACAACTTCTTATATCAATATAATATTATATTTACTAATTTTAAACGTTTCAAATAATATTCATTTTTCTTTTATTGAAAATGATGCATAATAATTAGTTATAAGGATGACTATAAAAACCTTTATTGTTAATTCAAAACATATGAATACCCATGGTCTTAAAAATAACAAAAAACAGAGGTAATTTTTGAAACTATTGGAGACTTACTGTGTTTTGGGCTATTCACTTCACATGGGGTTTAGTTTTTCCTTTAATTAAAAAATCTTGGAAAAGATTATACAAGCCCTGAAATTCCACTTAATAACATAATTCTTATGCTACATCCATTGATCACCAGTGATTGGAATTTGTAACGTCTATGATAACCTTCGGGTCATCTTAGGTCTATCAACTAAGAATTTCTGCCCTTTGGGTCTCTTTATCTNCTTAGGGTTTTGAGTGGTGATTACGAATTAGGGGTTGGTTTCCCCAATTGATAGTTTGAGGAAAAAACCTAGAAAGCAAATTAAGTCAATTGAGTGAATAACTCAACACTAATAACATGAATTACATCATATCCGAACAAAGGTATGTAAATGTTTATTCCACATTTTATAGAATAATAGATGATAATCTATAAATTCAGTTTTTACTCTTACAGAATTTGTCACATTGCGAGTATCACAACACAAGTTATGAAAATGTTTCAATAATCAAACGTTTTGATCAACAAAAATATTCACCCAGTTTAGAAGTTGTAAACACTTCATCTTGAGCATCAAAATCATTTTCATTTTGCTCGAGCTACAGTATCTTTAACAAATTACCCAGTTTATATCCTCTCAATCTCCTTAAATTACACAGCAGATAGTTACAAAATTCAATTCTATCTTCAAAACAACAAAGAACTCTGCAACCCATTACTATACTACTCTCACAGTTACCGTTACAAACGAACGAGAAGTATTCATGTATTGAATAAAGGCAGCTAACACGTTCACTGGGTTGTTTGAGACAACCAGAAAATGGAGAAATACCTGAGAGCCCAGATGAACAACGCTTTGAAGAGGATCCTGTGACTGGGAGTGACCTATCAACTAAAGCAGAAAGAAAGAGAGAAAGAGAGCTCGAGCTTGGGTTGATAACCTACTAGTACGGAAGTGTTTGAAACTATGCGTTGAGAGCATTTCCGATGAAACAACTTTATTATAAGTTGATAATAAAGGTCGGTGTTAATGTTCACGTTATTTCTGTGAAATATTTTTTAGTATAATTCAAGCATTTGTTTCAGAAACTGGGAGATTATCTCAAAGCTCTCAAAGTCTTCAAAAGATACACAAATTACTGAGAAGCATTCTTGATTCTTGTATTTGCATACTGATGTACCTTGCCAAATCCAACAACAAATATTATATGATGTTAGATGGCATAGATATCTGATATATTTGGATCATACGATCAGAATAAGCAGCTAATCTAAAATGAAAATGATTTAAGAATGAAGAAGAATCATTTGTTTTTAGAAACTGGTGAAATTATTTTCATAGTTCTAAAGTCTTCAAACCATATACACATTGATGATTGTTCTTAGCATACTTATGCAGCTTTCCAAATTCAAAACTCAAGAGTTTGGATCCCTCCTTACCTAGATTTTCCTCTAGAAGAATAGACTATGTAAAGATTCTAAGTTCTCAAGCTGTAATGAACTCAACTGGCAGAGGTCCAGGTTCAAATGCGAATGCAAGAGGGTTGTAACCAGAACCTTTCACACATCCATGTTCAGTTATCGAAACAGAAAGGAACTCGTATCATTAATTTGTACAAAATGTTTTGTACAGAAGTATAATATTATTCTTATTGAGTAAGATGACAGGGTCGTTATGCAAAGAAAGATTGACAGATTTAGAGTTAAAATTAAGAGGACAATTTTCCAGCAGTACTATTCTTACAAAGATGCATTCTCAGTGTTCTGAGCAAGTTATACGAGTCAATAACTTTTGATCAATGAAAGGAAAAAGAAAAAACAAAACATACTATGATCAGATTGCTCTTGGAGGTTTCTCCAACAATGCTGAAAGGTAGACTTCATCCTTGGATTTAGGAGCAATAGCCCACTTGTGTTTCTTGTATCTAAACTGAAGAAACATATACATATAATCATCCAGATCCTTTCTAGTGCAAAAGAACCTGTCTATCCATAACAATCCTCCTGGCCTTAATATTCGGTCCCAATCGAATAGGATGTAATCCATTAACAATAAATCAATCCAGCCATCCATGAATCCAGTTGTATGAATTAAGTCCATTGTGTTGTCGAAGAATGGAAGGCGTTGATTCAATGTTGCATAAAGAGGAATCAAACCTCTAAGTGCAATCATCTCGCTGAATGGAGCCCCAAGGTTCAAGGCAGTTGAGACAATTGTTACATTTTTTTCTCTCATCCTGGCAGCGAAAGTCCCTGTGCCAACACCGAAGTCCAGACCAATTCTTATCTCCCCAGGCTTGACTCCCAAAACATCGCTGATCAGGAAATCTACAGGAAGTGAGCTGTTGTTGACCCATTTAAGCTTCTCCTTGTCCATTTCAAAGCATCCTGTACACTTTGAATAACCCCGTTTAGGATTCTTGCTTGACAAACACTCAAAGTTCCTGCACTGATAATTGCTCCACCTTACATTTCTACCATCTGGCAGTTTCCATAGAGATTCATTGATGGGATATGGCTTTTGGTAGACCTTAGAAGCCCTTGTCAAGCACCGTCTTCGAGGCAAAGGATCACATCCATTAACCATGAGCTTTTGAGCAACGTTCCAATCATCTTTACAATAAGATCCAATGTCATAATCCATGTATTCTTCCAATTCTTTCTTCATCAATACACACACATGGCCGATTGTGTTGTATATCCTCTCTGTTCCATATATATTAACCTTCCCAACTCTGTTTTCTTTCGGGGTTATATACTTCCGAATCTCCTCTATCACAAAAGTATTAATCAAAGGCTCCTCTTTCATTGTTGAGTTTCTAATCCCTTCAGCCTTAGGTAGCCGAATCTGTCTAAGAGAAATATGAGCAGCATAAAGAGGCCTAATCACTTCCTCCTCCAAAAACTTCTTGTACACCAATTTGGTAACACTCGTTTTAGCCAAATCTTTCTCCTTCTCCATTTGTTGCACAGTTTTTTCAAGCTTAACTTGCAGGCTTTCCATCCGATTTAGTACTTCCCCAACTCTATCATTCAATGCCCTAATATCAAACCCATCATATACCTCCGTGGCACCATTAAAATGGCGGCATATATCTTCATTGTGCATGAAAAATCCAGCTGAGTAAAACTTGAAGAGACTCGATAGGCTTACAATTATAACAAGACCTCCAAGCACAATCTGAAGCCAACCCATTATTCTTCCCAATCTACATTTTGGAAAGCACGATCTCCCCATCTTTGCTTCTCTTTTTGCTAGATGCTGCTTTTTTCTCTTCTTCTTCTCAGAGTTTCAACCTAATCAAAGATCAATTTTGAAGCAGAAAAATACGAAGATGGCTAAAACTCTATCATAAAATCCGAGTACATGCATCCAAACCACACAAATGAAAACAAAAACAGATAAAAGAAACAATATATGTGAAGGCTAAGATTCACCAACACTCATGAAAATAGAAATAGAAAGAACAACACTAAAAATTTCGAGCCTTTTAATTTGATCATTTGGGACTTTATGAACACACATTTGAATCGAACAACATTACCAACTTGCAAAAACAGGAATTCCATTATCAATTTTCAATCATTTTCTCACCAACCAAACAGACGAAACAAAGCTGAACATAAACAAAATCTACAAAATTCATAAAAGCAAAGCTTCATAATCAAAATTTGAAACATACCCAGATAAGAATCAGCCAAAATAAATGAAAAAACAAATCTGAATCGCTCTCCCAGTGTAAATTCAACCACTTTAACAAAACTATATCACCCCCAAAAACCTTCACAAATCTTATAAAATAACCCTCCTTAGTCTCACCTAAACTTCAAAAAGACTCCACATTTCACTCGAATATCGAACTAAATCCAGCTGTAGCACAGTAAAGCTCAAGCTTTACTGCGCTTATTACCTCTAAACTGAGTAAAGTTTATGTTTTATTAAGAATTGAGCTTGCTTGTTGACCAAGTGGCTTTAAATTTGCACGAATCTCGTGAAAAAAGAAAAAAAAGCTTGGAGAAGTTCAAGTTGTAAATTTAAATATTAAAACCAACTTTGTTTTTAAATGAGAATATTGAAGCGTTGACTGTTTGAGAAATGCGCTGAGTTTTTTTTTCTGAAGCTGGCTCAGTTGGGCCGGCGGCAAGGGCGAAACTGTGTCATTTTCGACCGTTGAAAGATGGTTTTTCTTCATTTTCCTGAAATTATATAGAAAATTAATGGGCGCTGTGGCACTTCTTGTTTCACAATATTCACGACATACGACATGCCGATTTAACAAAAGCCTATCATGTTTTGAGTTCAAAGGCATAGACGAAAGAAAAAATTGAAAAAAATTTAAGATTTGGCGTAATTTATTTTCCCACCCAAAGACTTTGAGAAAAACAATTGCCCACCCATCGTTAAGATACGTTTATTAACTTTAATTGAAGAATGATAGGATGGTAAATTCACTAGAAGCTTTAAAATCAACTATTTAAAAATTTCTTTCCCGGTTCGTGGAACGTGTAACAAAGTTTCCCAAGGATAAAATTCTTTTTGCTTCTCTAAATCCAAACCCTACTCTATCATGAATTTATTTAAATCCATTTTTTCCGATGATACTAATTCAATGACCTCCAACCAAAACCCGACTTTTAATCCTCCAACACGAAATTTCTACCAGATGAACAAAACCCAAATCCCAACACTCCTCCAAACTCCAGCCTAGCAATCTACAGGAGTTCGGGACAAGTCTAAGAAAGGAACTTGAGGTGTCTCAAGGATCCACTAAGGGTAGTCGGTATCGACATTGACGAGTTTGGAAACAGTATTTTGAAAAGGACCACCTAGATCATCTCTCACATTAAGGATGTTATCCAAGTGATTGATCACGAATCCCATTCATTCGATAATAATACTAATCAGAATAATAATGATGGTAATACAAACCGTATAGTCATTTTGATGCTCAGGTTCATGCGATTTAAGGAGATGTAAATAGGTATTGTGAGGAAGTTGATGATTTGGATCACTATAATAAGTGGGAATCTAGGATTGTTTTGGATACGATGAATGAGGAAATTGAGAGCATGTTTGAACAAAATGGTGCTTGGTTGGGATGAGATTGAGGAACTTAGCAGCATTGATGAGACAAAAGCGACTCATGCTGGGAGCCCAAACAGAACTGACTTGAGGAAGCGACTGCAGGTTGCAAAAGAAGAGGAAGACTTGAGTTCGGATATTGAAGATGAGGACGATCCAGTTAAAGCACGATACACCATGAATCTTAACTTCTTAAATTATTAGAATTGACTGCACTATGCTCCTTTTTACCTCCATATTAGGAAGAGGAAGAATTGAGTTGGAATATTGAGGACGAGGACAAGAGAGAAATTTTAAAGTTTTTGATTTTTCCGCTTCCACTAAATTTACAATCCTGTCTTTCTTTAGTTGAAGTTAATAGATGGATCATATCAATGGGTGGAAAATTGTTTTTTTCCAAAGTTTTTGGGTGAGAAAAGGTTTTACACCAAACCTTGGGTGGAAAATTATAATTATGTCTAAAAAAACTATTGTAATTTTATTGTTAATCTTTCTCAAGAGTTCATTAATGGAAAAGTTTGGCCCTTCAGTGTGTACCCTTTGTCATCCAGCGTTGTAACATGTCCAAATGTTTAAGTTATTCACCTAAAAGTGGTACGTGAGTTGAATTCAGAATATTGTGATATAATATAGTCCACAGGCAATGCTGGGCAATGCTAGAGGTATAAAGAATTTTACAAAGATTTCTTGTACAAATTGATGTAGTAAGAGATGAATGGAAGAGTGAATATGATGAGTTTGACTTTTTATATTCACTATTCCATTTATTTTTTACCACATCACTTTATACAAGAAATCTTTATAAATTTTTTTGTACCTCTAACAATATTGTATTGTCCACATATGGTGTGGTGTTATTTAAATGAAGATTGCAAAAGTTTTATATTGAAATCCAAACCAAGTGATCGATCAAGGAAATGTAATGTTCAGTTATACTCTATTAAAACAAATTAAAAAACTAGAACACAACATGTGTCTCTGAAGCACTTTTCAGAGGACATCAGCACACAAGACAGACTAAAATTCACTCCAAAATATAGTTCTAATTAAGCAAAACACTACCACAAGCAATTTAACTTCACCAGTGCATACCTGAAATGCACCTCCAGTGCAATGGAGATTGATAGAATATTGCAATTACAATATTATACAGGAGCACACGTCAACCAAACAAAGAAGTTGCACAAGCCAAACCACATAATTCTTCATCTACTAGTCATGTAACAAATTAGCTTAAAAGTTTACCACATTCTAAATATGAACTAAAGTATACAATCAAATGCAAATTGGAAAGCGATGAAAACAGTGTTGCTCTGCAGAACTAACTGAAATAATTCAACATTGTTCAATAAACTAAAACGCTGAAATTAATAATCACCAATTAGAGATTATACAATCGTTTTAGGTTTTGGAAAGTTGACATGCTACAGTTTGCAGGAAGAAACACAAATATTCATTTCCAGAGCCTGAAAGCCTTCCTTCCTTTGATAGATATTCATCAATTCAGGAACCTTGTCCAATTATTTTGTCACAAACCTATCCAAAATACCTTCTCAACAGGTTTTACACATGCACATAGGCTCAAAATTTTCTTCACCAATCCCTTCGATTGCAGAACTTTAATTACCAAACACCTTGGAATTACCCTCTGTTCTAAACTCATAAGGAAAACGTTTGGAAACAAGGCCATATATGTGGACTGCCAACCCGTCTTGTTCACAAGAAAATCCATTCCATTCATTATTTTGCTTTCAGAGGCATTCATACAAATGGGGCATTTTTTGAACACCAACTTAATGTCCTCATTAGACCACCCCCACCCCTTGAAAAGGTCAAATTTTTGTTCCAAAGTTGATTCAGTCATTGAGACAAACACCTTCATTGCATGGATGAACCCACATTTCCGAGGATCAAAACCCATTTCAATAACCTTCTTGACATTTTTGTCGAACTTCTCACGTTTTTGGAGGACTATAGGCGCATAACATGTTAAAATAAGTGCAAAAAACGACTCCGACATTCCAAGTTCTTTCAGGACTGCAAGTTTTGGAGACACATTCTTTGCCAAATCAAATGTAAAGAGCCATGAATCGTTTCTAAACGATTTAATAATATTAGCATCAGAGAGTGTCACACTTTTGAGGAATTTAAAGTTAGGAATGAGTAGGTTCTCCAAACTGTGACCCAATATAGCAGGAGTTAAAGAGCAAACACTCGCAAGCTCAGCAGCTGTGATCCCCAAAGATTTGAAAAACTCAAATTTAGGCAAAATTGACCTCTCAGGATTGGCTAAAAGTAAAATAGGGCGCATTCTAACAATTTTGGTTATATGGACAGTCGTAAATCCACTGTTTCTTAGAACTTTCAGGACCGAATCTGGTTTTTCAGCAGATTGAAGCTTGATTCTTTTGGAGACAGATTCTGCTATTTCTGGGGACAACCCACATGAGTTTATGAGGTATGACACAGTAAATAAGTAATCCTTTCTAACTTGTTCGATTTTGGTGGAGAATGATCTAATGATAGTGGGCAACAAACTCAAACACAAATCCAGAGGATTAGTGCCTAAATTTTGCACGACACACCTGCAAATATTAGGTAAAACTTGCGCATTTACAAGCCTTCTATACAGATAACCACACATTGTAATCGGTGAAAAGTATTAACTCACCAGCTTGTAGAGGAGAAAAAGAAGACACTTCCGCTAACTGATGTTAGGAGCAAATGAACATGAAAAATTCGTGCTATTTGTAGATGCATCTGGGAATGGTGGGTATGACATGATTCTTCCTTTAGAATCAGGAATTTACGCAGAAGTACTTCTCAGTGGCAATTAAACAAACAACTCCAATTTGGAACCAGTTGAAATTGCAGTCTTTTGCAGCATGAAGGAAACATAGCCAAATCAAATACAAATGATGAAAAAAAAAGAGCAAGAAAGTACTCACGAATTATTTCAAATTTTCAGCTTGAATTGGGCATTTGATTGCAGCACAGATTCTTATAAACTTCTTTTAGGGTTTTCACTCATCAAATCCTTATCTTGCGTTATTGCTCCCCGTCATGAGACCAAAACGGCAAAACCCACCACCGTATGTTCAAGTTGAAACGTGACTGGTTTAATTGAGAGAGAATAACAATTTCTCACCCAAGGTTTGGCAAAATTTCATTTACCACCCAAAGACTTTGAGAAAAACAATTGCCACCCAAGGTTTTTAAATTTCATGGACTTGGGTGATTTTAGGCAAAAATTACGGGATTTGATTACTGTAATTTGTGGATGCATCTACGAATGACAAATATGATATGATTCTTCCTTTAAAGATAGATATTTGATACTTTAGAATCAAGGATTTACGCAGAAGTACTTTCTTCCTCAAAGAATCGCTTCAATAATAACAAGTTGGTATTAACTGTTATGATTCTAGGGTTAATGAATAACTGATTCAGTGATGAAAACTTAGTGACAGATCAACAATTAAACTCATGACAGATAAAATAGAGACAAGTAGAGAACAAGACACAGCAAGATTATAGTGGTTCAGCTTTACAGCCTACATCCACTCTCCAAGGCTCACACTAGGGATTTTATTATCAATCAAGAATGTACAGTGATCAGAACATAAGGTAAACCATTAAACAAGGAAAGAACACACCGATTAGAGAAAACCCTAAATAGCTCTGCCCAAAACTCTGATCTTTTTTCTCTGGAAAAGCATGTGTTAAATACGAAGGCTTTTCTCCTGGATCATCAGCCATCTGTCCTTGATTCTCCATAACAGAAAGCTTGCTGGATCGATTCTGGAAGTTTCTTCAAAGTGAGGAGCTGTCCTGCCAAACAGCCTGTCGAGCCAAACAGAAATGAGAGAGAAATGAGGGCTGCTCGATAATGAGAAGACCTAATTTTATAAGTCTTTTAGGTTGGCCAAAACGACGTCGCATAATGGAAGTTTGACTTGGACACTTATGCTGACTTCCACCGTGGCAAATCAGGAGCCACGTCACCACATTAACTATTACATCTTCTCTGAACCTGGGAAGAAAAAAGTTGTCATTACTTCCTTCTGTGTGTTCATCAACTCCATTCATTTCAGCTTGTCCAATCAAACAATAAGAACTGATACAAGAAGCTCTAAGCTGTATTCAGAGCTGAATAAGTCCAGGGCCAAAGGCACTCACATTAACAAGCAAAAATAAAAAGAAAAACCTGTGTATAAAAAAATCAACAAATAACAAGCCACAGTTGGTTTGTCTCCGATTTTTGCTAAAATCCAATGCCTAGTTCTGAAAGATCAATATTCCCTTCACATATATCAAATAGTCGTGGAACCTTTTCCTGATACTTGGACAAAAAATTGTGCGTGAATACCTTTTCAGAGGACTTCAGCACGTAAGACAAATCGAATTTTTTCTTAATCAAGTTGTTGAACAACAAAACCCTGAAAACTCTGCATCTCGGGATGATTCTCTTCTCCAAACAAATAGTTAAAGCCACAGGGGTTCTAGCAACCGCTGAAGGCTGACAACCCATCTTGTTCACATAAAAGTCCATTTTGGTATTTATATTCTCCACAGACAGAATCATAAATCTGGGATAGGTTCTAAAAGCTAACCAGAATTCATTTTCAGACCAACCCCAACTCCTATAAACCTTTAGTTTTTGCAACCAGGAATTGTCAGTCATATCTATAGAATGACATTCAAGCAAAAATATCAGAGCATCGTATCTATAATACTGTTCAAATCAATCAGTATCACTGATTCATCTCTTTCTCTAACCTCCAAGCTTCGCTGTAATTTGCTAGCAAGGAAGGGCTTGCTAGAAACTCCAAGACCTGGAGTAAATCAAAACCACATAATTGAGATTCATGTCCGCATCTACTAGTCACGTGACAAAGATTCGCACTAGTCACATGACAAAGATTAGCTTAAAAGTTTACCGCATTCTAAATATGAACTAAAGTACACAATCAAATGCAAATTGGAAAGTGAAGAAAACAATGTCGCTCTGCAGAACTAACTGAAGCAATTCAACATTGTTCAACAAACTAAAACGCGGAAATGTAATGATAACCAATTAGAGATTATACAATCGTTTTAGGTTTGGAAAGTTGACATGCTACAGTTTGCTGGAAGAAACTTCATATCCAATTAGAGATAATACAATCTTTGAGTATTTGATCGAATTGTAACAGGATATACAGGAAAAAATCATTAGTTATAAACAGTTTTTTATCCAATTTTTAATGCCTACGAAAATTTAATTTCATTAGTATTTATATAAAACAGTAAGACACGAATTTGATGATAAAAGCATGGATTCTTATTGGTATTTTAACGTGTCATCTAAACTAGTGTAACATTTCTGCCTTTTATAATTATCAATAAACTCATTCTCTCTTATATTTAATTTTATGCGGGCTTTTGGATCATATAATATTTTATCATAAGAAGGATATTATATTAACGGAAAGATAAATCACCTTGAAGATTACTGGGAATGTTTAAAAAATGTGTATGGCTAGTTTGAATAAATTGGTGAATAATATGTTTAGTTGGGAGAATAAATGGTTGGGTATGTTATATAGATCACTATATTGTCTTTTTTTTTTTTTTAAATATTAATATAATATTATTTTTTGAATCATTTCTATTAATCATCTACATTTGAAATTTTGCTAAAACACCCCAACATATAAAACTTTTATTTGTAGCAAAATCACCCCTACCCATGGAATGGTGCACGAGTCATATACCGATGCACGACCAGCTAGATTCTACCGATTATGCACCATTATAGCTATTGATGCCGGTGGCTGACGATGGTGAGTAACAGTTGGCGGTGCTCTTGGGTAGTTGGGGGTATTTTGTTAACTTTTAAACTTTTTTGTGATTGGGGTGTTTTAGTTAATTTTTCAAATGTAGGGAGTTTAGTAATTGTTATTTGGTAGACATTTGAGGGCAATTATGTCCGAATGATATTTAATTGAGAGCAAAATAGGTATAAAAGTTAGATTACCTAGTAATCTTTTAATCCCAAGATGGGGGAGGGTATCAAATTACAACATACATTACCAACACTAAACACTATTTATAGTCAAAGATTCCCATAATATTTTATTACTTCCAAACCAAACACCGGAATCTTACAAAATAAATGAAGATTATCCCCGTTGTCTTATATACCCCCGATCTTACATCGGAATCTTACACTATTTACTAGGAATGTTTAGAAAATGTGTTTGGTTGGTTTGAATAAATTGGTGAATAATATGTTTAATTGGAAGGACAAATGGTTGAGTATGTTATATAGATTACTATATTGTATTCTTTTTTAAATATTAATATAATATTATTTTTTTAATCATTTCTTTTAACCCTCTACATTTAAAATTTTGCTAAAACACTCCACCCATATAAAACTTTTATTTGTAGCAAAATCACCCCTACCCACAGAATGGTGCACGATTGGCCGTATACCAATGCACGACCAGCTTGATTTCCTCGGTCATGCACCATTATAGCTATTGACGCCGGTGGCCGATGATGGTGAGTAACGGCTAGCGGTGCTCTTGGATGGCTGGGGGTATTTTATTAACTTTTAAACTTTTTTGTGGTTAGGGTGTTTTAGTTAATTTTTCAAATGTAGAGTGGTAGACATTTGAGGGCAGTTATGTCCAAGTGGTATTTAATTGAGAGTAAAACATGTATAAAAATCAGATTACCTAGTAATCTTTTAATCCCAAGGTTGGGGGAGGGTATCAGATTACCCTCTACATTATCAACACTAAACACTATTTACAGTCAAAGATTCTCATAATATTTTATTACTTGCAAACCAAACACCAGAATCTTACAAAATAAATGAAGACTACCCCCATCCAAACGCACCCTACAAGTTATGTCGCATCAATACTAACTGTTTAAACTAATTGTCCTTTTCACACTTTCTTTGTTAAATTTAAAACACGTGTTAAGACTACACACCCAAAAAACTATTTCTAGATTTTTTTTGGGTGACCGGAGGTGTTCATGCCAGTTTGTGCGTATCTCGACTAATCTTTAAGGTCATCGAAGTTAACGACTAGGTAAACCCTGCATAGCCACCCTTATTAGTAATTGAGGGAAATCGAACTCAAGACCTTTTGAGTAATACACCCAAGAGCTCTTATCACCCCACCCAATCACCTAGGGGTAGTTTATTTCTAAATATTATATCAACGTATATTTCTAAATATGAAAAGTATTGTAATATAACTTAAATATCATTTAAATAATATCAAACTGAAAACGTTTTAGGCACCAATTCTAAGACCATTGTAGGAGTACCACTAACCATTAACAAATATGAACATAACACATAAAATAAAGCTATACTTTGTCAATTTCATCTTATTGAATCCTTTTACCTGCCTCAAAAGTCTTTTGGTCTAGCCATCAAGGCGTTTCGTTTTTTTTTTTTTTTTTTTTTCATGGACCTCTCATGTCCACTAAATTTAGCCCAGTACCCTTTAAGGAGCGTTTGGTTAGGGGGTATTTGAGATTATTAGAGTTAAGTCATCTTATATTACTTGATTACTATGTTTGGTTGTCAAGTAATATAAGATACCGGTAATCTTTAAACACCAATAGTGGTTATTATTG